TCGTCCGCGTCAGCGGGCCGGCCTCAGGGCCCTCCAGCTCGCTGTGAACTCAGCAGGGCGCGCAGAGGGGATCCCCGGAGCTACCGGGAGGTCCTCCCCAGCCACGGGGCCCAGTGGGGCCGCGGGCCAGCAGGCCACGGGCTGGGGCGAGCAGTCCGCAGCTGTTTTTATGTGACGTGTCTTGGCTATTTCAAGGCTTAGGTTTTTATTTTATTTATTTACTTTTAACTCAAGAAGAAGTTTTAACTTTCTCATGACTCATTTCTTTCAAAATGGTGTCCTTGGGCACTTGCAGCGTCGCAATTGTGCGAGGGAGCGGCCGGCTGAAGTAGGTCTCAGCTCACAATGGCATCCGCGATGTCACGATGTCATTCAAAACTGTAAGAAGCTAACAGATCAGGATCATGGCTCAATCCTAAGTCAGAAAGAACGCTGGGTGTTAAAGATTTATCCCAAAGAAATTTAACACAGCATTCTCTGCTGATAAACGTGTATATTTCCCAAAACAAATATCTGAAAGATGTGAAGCTATGATCATTCAAAACACCTTCCACCTCGTTTGAAACAGGCTCTGTAAAAACAGACCGTGAAGGGGGGCCACGCTAGCCGCCACCGTGCAGGTGACCGGAGGGGCGCCCAGTGCCGACGACCCGCGGGCCGCCAGACGCCTCCGTTTCCAGCCTGAAACCAGCCTCTCTCCCCTACGGCAGCCTCCACGGTGCCAGCTGCTGCCATCTGGTTCATTCACGCTCAGAAATATGAAAGATGGCCCTCAGTTTTCAATCTCACAACTTCAAAAGGACTTAAAAAGAAAAAAGCCACCAAGAGGGAGGTACGAGATCAACGAAAACGTGATGTCCCTGACAACCGCATTAGCTGGTGCAAGCAGCCAGGGCCCGCAGGTCCTAGAGACCCTCCAGACCCGACGCGCGCGCCTGGGAATGTGCCTGGGGCCGGGGGCGGCTCTGCCAGCCTCTCTCCAGGCCGCCGGGATGCCGGGAGACAGCAGCTACTCACGGAGCGGTCAGGCCCTGGGACTGGGGACCGAGGCGCCCCCCCCCACCCCACACACACACACACAAGGGCTGTGGCCGTGGCTGGTCACAGAGCCTGCAGGGCAGGTGCACTCCGGCGGTTTCCAGAGTAAAGGGAAGGAGACAGAGGAGACACGATTCATCCCCACGGCAGAGAAACCACTCTGCTTCCTAACGTGGTTGCCCCAAATACCTGCTATATCTTAGGTTTAAATTTCTTTCTGCAAATGCCTTTGTGAAATTCCTAGGTTAAATTCTCTGTATAATCTGCACACTACTCTGTAGGCTCGGGAAATTTACCGTTTAGTTTTAAAAACAAGCAAGAGTATTTAAGTTCCAGTAGGTGACGATGGGTCATCACCTAAAAGGTATACAAAACCTACTTAACGATGCTTTCAAACTTAAGAAAGTCGAATCAGCGGGTGAGGAAAAGCAGTTAAGTCTATAAAAATGCATGGTGGGCCTGGGCTCACTGCCACGGCGTGGGCGAAAAGTAGCCGGCAAAAAAATGGTTAACGCCGGCCTCCTCGGGAGGCCGTCCAGCAGAGCACAATGGGCGGCCCTGGGAAGCCTATAAAGCCAGCGGTGCCTCCGAGTCCGCAGCAATGACGGGCGTTCTGACCGGTCGGCCTCGTGCCCCAGGCAGGCGTCCCCTTGCAGGACCACCGCTCCGGCATTCTTCGACGGGGGGAAGCGAGGCCAGAATCCCCGCCACCCGAGGGAGAGTCTCGGCCGCACCTCCAGCCTGCCGGGAGTGCACCCGCCGGGGCCGGCCGACAAGCCCTCCCAGGGACACGAGAAGGGCTTGCGCGGAGCCGGCCTGGGCTGGGGTGGCCGGCTGCATCACAGGTGAGTCTCGGTCCCGGGTTCCCGGTTCTGCGTTCGGGTCGGTGCCGCGGTGGGAGTCCGCGGACCCGCCGTGCAGCCTCTGCCATCATGGGAGGGGAGACCGAGGGCGGGCCCGGCTCGGTGGGCCCTCGTCAGGTGCGGCACGCTGTGGTCACAGCTGGACGCAGACGGGGGCACACAGGCCACCCTGCGGTGAGAGAGGCACGGAGGCTACAAAGCCTCTACTCCGCACACGAACCCGCACCTGGCTCAGCCCCAGCGGGGCTGCGGGCGGAGGCTTTGCAAAGGTTCTTTCTGTAACGCGTGCCCAGCGCGGCAGTCCCCTGACTCCCCGGCGCTCTGTCGCTATGTTGGTCAAGCGAGGCCCTGCCTCCGGTTAGGACGTTAGCCAGTCAACAAAAACGCTTGCCCGGCGACACGGCCGGGTGGACCGGTGTTCCTTCACAAAGATACACACCCAGCTGGCCTGACAAAATGTGGTTTTAGTTTTTTTTTTTTTTTTT